ATCAAAAAACGGGAGATATAATTACAATATGTGTCTTTTTCGGTACAATTGAAGAAACTCAGGTTCAGTTTGAAATATTTTAATAGTTGTTGTATAATGGTAATAATATATAATAGAATTTACCAGCGCTATTCGTATGGCCAGCATACGTGTTCGCGTTAACTTTAAAACTCTCAATCATTTGTTTTATATTACTTAGATAAAAGTCATCAAATAAAGTACACGCRTCGAAAAAGCATCTTAAATAAGTACACTATTGATAATAATGTGAGAGGCTAAAAAAGTGAAAAAAGCTAAACCGTTTTCTAAAACCCGTGAAATGGTTATTTCTTTAGCGCACTTTGTTTCTTTTAAAACATACACCTACTTGCGAAAACGTTGTCATAAAAAATAGGACATTTGTATTTTAGTAAAAAGGAATAAATTATAAAGACAAAAGAAGGTCACTGAGGCTGAACGCTTTCTTTTGTTTTGTTTTAATTTATTCCTTTTTACTAAATTCGAATGTTCTATTTTCTATGACAACGTTTCTGCAAGTAGGTGTATGTCAAAATATATTCCAATCCCTTAAAACAAAATTTATCGATTAGTTTTGTTATGAAACTAGAGTTAGGTCATGAAACCTGTGAAAGGAAGTCTAACTGGTCCTTAAATGTTATAGTCAAAAAGACTTAAAAGTAAAACAACTCAATTGGAGCGTACTAAGGTGTATTAGTGTAATATCTATTTCACGGGTTTTTGACTTCACTCTAGAGCGAAGTCATTAAACCCGTGAAACAAAACTTGACTATTAAAGTGTGATATTCAATTAGAAGCAAATGAAAACAATATTAAAGCTAGAGTCATTTTCATCCGTCTGTGAAATAGGAATTGTACTATTAAATACTATTACCCCCTATTAGCTCCCAATAATTTAACTTATGACATGCGACAAACTAATTAGGCAAACACGGTTTTGATTTTGCCTTTTGGTAGCCTACTACACCCTAATAGTTACTATATTAAACACTGACTAGTAGTAATTGTTTCACAGACGGATGATAATGACTATATTAAGCTGTATTAGTGTAATATCTATTTCACAGGTTTTTGCGTTCCCTCTAAGTGCGTTCACACTTGTGATTTTGTCTCGTCTTTTGTGAAGTTTAAATATGATGTACTATCCATGTAAATATACGACCTTTTCCACAACCTCATCCTTAAGGTACCTGCCTATATCTAAACGTGAAGAGTGTCATCAATGGTATCATCAGTATTTTGTCATGCTTCTGTAACCATGCCTGGAAAAGGTCCACAATGATGCGTGTGGGCTTCTGTCATTCACGATACGAGTGAAGCGTTTTCTGATGGACAGGGTGTGCCTGATTGCGTTCTGTACATAAAAAGAACAAAAAAAAAATCATTTTTAAAATCGACATAAATCATATAAATGAGATTTTGATATATTGAGGATATTACATGGGCGCGCGGAGATACGGATTTTATCTTCTAGTWTAGAAAAGATCTCTCACRAGTGAGCGCAGCGAAATTATATCGCAAAATACCTTTTTTCTTACTTGCATTATATAGAGATACCTCGAATGTGTTATTTTAATTCACTTGTGAAAATAAGATGTTATTTTCACTAGTGAAGAG